TGTTGAGTTTGCGAGGGAAAACCTATTGAACAATGTGCCCTAAGATATTCAATTGTTCACACTAATAACTACTATTTATATTTCGTACAAATGTACGCATCCTATCAATACCTACGCCATTGCTACATGAAACAAAACCAACACAAAAAACTAAGAACAGCGTTCTCGGAATCCATGCCATACTCGGTCCTGGTAAAAATGTAGCCTGTAATCAGGCACTCTTGACGCAATTCTCTGCTATAATATCTGTTAAGCTAACCGATTCCATGGCACTCATGATGTTGTTGAAGTTAGTAAGCCACTGGTCCCTGCTATGAACAACAAAAAATTCGTCCTTCGATCCAGCATTACAGACAACAGCAGCTCCAGAGTAAATGCTTGAGCAAGGAAACACGTACAAATCGGAGCGCAACATGCCCTTCTTCACAAATGAATGAGGTTTCCAGTTCACGTACTTTTGGTGGCTTTCTATGTCTTGCAATTCCAAAAAGCATCGAACAACAGCGTAGAAACCTGCGTCGTGGACATCAAAGCCCCTCACCGAGTGAGTACCAGTTGGTCGGTCGATGTCAAGAAAACATAGTATCTGRCATGGATAGYGCTTCAGAACKGGATTACCATCATTGTCGACCGGGTAAACACCCCTTTTGTTAGGGAGATGTACAAGGAAATACGCCCAGTCGTACCATACGTTGCATTCTTGTCCGGAATCAGATTTGAAAGAGGGATGTGCACGGAATAGCAGTGTTTTGTTTGTTGCCGAGTCAATTCTTTTGTGTTCAGTGAAGCCGGTCAACTTCTTCGTTTCGACAGCATCGAGAACGTGGTTTGCACAAAAATTAATAACATCTGTCGGTAAGCAAGGAAGGTTTCTCTTTTGGTTGTCCACAGAATTCCATTTCATAAACGGCAAACGCGTGTCATTGCTTTTCCCAATTGTAAACGTAGAGCCACCATTTGGTTTAGGATAACGGGAATTCATTACACTGTCATAATAATCAAATTCAAGGTGTAGCCAATCTATTGTGTGGTGTTCAATGTGACGCTTTGCAGTTTGTTGGATTAACGTTCTGGATGTATGTGAAGTTCTTTTAGCAGGAGCTTTAACTTCCGTCTT